TTTGAATCACCAGATCATGAGATATTTCAAATTCGTCAAAATACCCCACTTCGTCACAATACCCCAGTCTCCCTTATATATATATATAAATCATATAATTTTCAATATACTGATACAAATAAGTTATTTTTGTAAAAAGCTAAAACAAAATTTGTTTTTTATTAAAAAATTAAGTAATAAATTATTATTTGTTGAATAAAAATTAATGTTAGCTTAGTTTTTAAAATTTTCATTTCTAGATAAAGACTAATATATGTATTAGATTATAGTTTTTTTAAAATTTACAATTTTTAACAAAGACTAATAATATATAAATTAAATTATATAATTTTTAAAATTCCTTATTTGTTTATAAAGATTAAAATTAAATTTGATGATATTTTAAAATTCTTATATACTCATCTTGATACAATCTGTAATTAATCTTATCCTATATACAGCAAATTTAAAAAAAAAAAAAAATTTTTATATACTAGACAAAAACTAATATTAGGTTGAATACTTTTAAAATTTTTATTTACTGAGTGAAAACTAATATTATATTCAGTGGTTTTAAAAATTTATTTGTTAGATGAAAACTAATATTAATTGGTAGTTTTTATAATTCTTATATTAGCAGGTTAAAAATTATATTAGGTTGAATAGTTTTTAAATTTTTCATTTCTGGGTGAATTAATATTAATTCAAATTAGAGATAGTAAAGTTTGGTTTGGTTTGGTTTAATTTAACTTTTTTTTTTTTTTTTTTTTATTTTGAATTTGTTGTATATATAATAAGATTAGTTACAGATTTGTATCAAGATGATATTAATTTTAACTATCTATTATATCTTGTATAACCACCTAAGTGTAGCAAAACACCTCTTAATTTTTTATTTATAAACTAATTTAAGACTAGCTATTATTAGTTATAAAGGGAGAAAGAGAAAGCCCAGTAGGTTTGATTTGATTAAATCTTGATATATGCAGTTAAAACCAAACTAAACCAAACTGTAAAGTTTAAATAAATAATTTAAAAACTTAATTTAAATTTGGTTTAGTTTAAATAAACCTAAATAATTATTGTTTTTTTATGCACTTCTTGCATGATCATGCATGAACATGCATAATTGTGCATAATCATACATAAACATACATACCATGCATAATTATATATAAATATGCATAAATATGCATATTTATATAAGTTTATGCAAAAGGTATATACAAAAATATAAGAAGTACATAAAAAAATGCAATATTTATAATTTATATATAAGCTGCATTAAAACTAGTTTAAACAGTTTTAAAAAACCAAACTTGGTTTATAAAATAACCTATTCTTAAACCAAGTTCAAGCTGGTTTTTTATAAACTTTACCATCCCTAATTCGAATGTGAAACTATTATTTTTTAGAAAAATATTTATTTTTAAATAGCAAATTCATTACAATGCCTTTCGCCCTTTATTTATGATTTCGAAATGTTTTAGTATTATAATAAACAAGTGAATTCTTAACTGTTGGGCTTTCGGATCGTTAACCGTAAGGCTGTTGTTTGATGATTTGGAACGAAAAATTAAGCTCAAATGTATCAAGTTTCAAGGAGTAAGAAAAAGTAATTATAAACAAAAAGTAGTTTAATGGGTTGTTACGTGCGATAATGCATTTACGAAATCTGTGCCAGGTTATGCATGATTTCGAGGATCAGTTGTAACGTAGCACGATCAAAACAAACGTTCGTTTTGCTAAAAATCGCTTCTTTTTCAAAATCTGCATAATAAACCACCTTTAGTGCTCTAACAAAAAGTTTTCATTGCGCGATTTTACTATATAATCGCTTAGCTTTTAACTTTATACGAAACGCTAACCCTAACATTAATGAGTTTACATGATGATCGGCAACATGCATAACCTGTAAATGCTACGATAGCATAGTTATCAGGGTCGCCAAGAAAACCAGGAAGTCTAAAAATAGCTTTCTTTTGACAATGGTTTTCACTTGGCGGCACTCATATGGATATGTGTGTGTAAGTTAGTTACACACAGGATTCATATCATACGATAACTATAATATATAGGACAATTCTAATACTAATACTCGTAGTTTTTTTTTTTAAGAAAAATAACTATATCGATCTATATATTTTGATACGAAGCTTTCATTTGTAACTTTTTTTAAGGCTTTTTTTTTAAAAAAAAAAAATTTATGTGCATATTTCCATATATTCATGTTTTATTTTTTATGTAAATTACATACATAAAAATTTTTATGCCATTATAATAAATATGAAAATTCAATCATTTTCACCATTCTATAAGTTCATGTTACTTTTTTTATATACCTTTTTTATATTTGTGTCGAGAAAAAATGTGTTAAGTCAGGATTCATGACACCTATCACCAACTAGACCAAAAATACTTGTCGGATATTATCCCGCTTATAAACTTAATTTAACACCAGGAATAGATTTTGATATCAGCACATCAATTGATTACTTAAACTTTATTGGTATGCGAAATTAAAGCTTTAAATCTATTTAATTACAGTTAAGTTTAATAAGTTATTATTTATATAGCATTTGGACCAAATGATCTTGTGAATAATGGCGAGAATAATAATACTGGTGGCGACCCATTTGCATTTTTTTTTAACGGACAATCTTCCAAGTTTAATCAATTGAAAGATTATAAGACAAGAAATAATCTAAAATTTAAGGTAAGTAATAAATATAAACATACATTAAAAAGACTTAATAACATTAATAGTAATGATAAATTGCTACGTTATAGATAATTCTATCAGTCCTGCTACCGACTGATGCGAATAATTTATCTAGTTTCTTTAATATTAATCCTAATACTGGGGTATACAATCCGATTCGTCCTAAAAATTTGGACTTCGTTAATGATTTAATTAGTATTGTTAATACTCAAGGTTTTGACGGAGTAAGATTAACTGATTATTTGGGTGTCGCTAATGAAAACCAGTAATTCTTGAATTTCGGATTTTAACACTTAACGGAATATGGCTTATTTGCTTCGAAGAATAATATTATATAGTTATTGCATGCGAAGTATGCAATAAACCAATTTATTCAATGCTTTACTATGGTCAGTCTATAAAATAAATCAATTATTTTTACGTGATAAATTATTGATCGTATTTCATAAACTGAGATAGTAAATCATTGAATAAAACCGTTATTGCATGTTCCCGTATGCATCAACTGCTGTATTTTATGTTCTGATCGTTCGGTAACCCAGCCGGTACGGCTGGGTTACCAACCAATCATCATCGCCCATAAAATACAGCAGTTATTGCATACTTCGCATGCAATAACTATATCACATTATTTCTTCATATTAATATCGATGCTTGCATCGATATCATTAGATTTTTCAAAGTCTGAATATCAAGGATTCTGATTTTCCCTTGGCGACACCTATCGCTATTTATAAAACAATCAATTACTTTTTATATCGATATTAACTTGTATATAGATGGATATTGATTATCCTTATAAACTTCCATGCGGTCCATCCGGATTTGATAATATTTTTTCGATTTTCCTAAATAATATATCAGCACAATTAGGTAATAAGGATTTAACAATTACAGCAGGCCAATATCCTATAAATATGACCTATGATCGCATTAATTTTGTAAATATTCAGGTAATATTTAACTTTTTTTACGTAAAAGTGATGTTATAAATAGTTATTTATCTGTTTATAAAATTTTAGGCATTTCGTCTTAATATAAATAACACTTATGCAAGTGCTGGAATAGACAAAATCTCTCAAATTTTGAGTTCATGGAATGTTTTTGTAAATAATTCAAAACTTGTTTTAGACGTTGAATTCGGAGGCGTTGTTGAAATTGTTTCTGACGATAGTAATAATATTAAATCACACATTGAGAATCAAAAACTTCAACCAGTAAATGACTCAAATTTTCAGTTTTCTTTTGCTAACGAACAGATTTCAGATCAATGTAAACATTCATCATATGCATATTGGTCATGGGAAAATTTAAGTAGTTTATTATCATCATCTTGTCCTACGAATTTAATTTCATCGTCACAATGGACCTATGGTTTTATTAACAATGCGAAACAACCATATCTTTACCAACAACAAGACTCTTCAAAATACTATGTCACTTTCTATGAAGATTATCAATCGTTAAATGCTAAACTCGACTATATAAAAAATAATAATTTAGCAGGAGTTGCGATTGCAGACATCACCAAAGATTCGAAAGATTTACAATTGACGAACTTTATTTTGGGAATTCCACCAAATAAGCCGAAAGGAAACGGAACTACTGGTACCTCTCCACCCATACCCACATCATCTACGTCTCCGTCCAATACTGGTGCGATAGTGGGTGGTGTAATAGGCTCCGTTGTTTTTGTTAGTGCATTAGTAGCTGTTGGCATTATATTGTATCGAAGAAGACACGAAACAAAAATGTCTAATCCACTTATAGATACAAATAATCAGACTTGCTCTGATACAAATCCTCAGGTTTATTCTGATATAAATCATCAAGTTCGCCCGGATACAAATATTCAGATTTACTCAGATACAAACCATAAAGTCTCCTAATTCTTAAAATGGTTAGAATGTGTATACTCTAAGATTTATACTATTAAATAAGTGTCCAACATGAGATTGGCTACGCATGAGACAAACTCCCTCTATAATTAGCAATTTAATAACTCTAGATATAATGAATTATAAATTTAATATTACTGTAAAATAGATAAATTTGTGATCAAGATTCTTTTAAAAAAATATATAAAACAACGTAGTCTGCAAGAGAACATTGAGATTTGTTATGCTTAATAAGATATCGATATATGTAGTGATTATACACGTATAAGGGTTACCCATATAAGATTGTTAACTAGATCTTAGCTGTTATTGCTATTTGGGTAACATGTCATTAAGTTTATAATTATTTATCATTTATCCATGTTAATTTAGTCTGAGTATAAAAATATTTAACCTATGAAATTAATATGCATTGATTTAGTTAGTGAATAGAGAAATTAAAAAATCGTGTGGTATAAATAAAATAAAACATCGTGTGGTATAAATAAAATAAAACATCGTGTAATGTACACATTATAACGAATATAACACGAATGAGGCAAGTATCTGTCATAACAACAAAAGATGGACAAATAGAACTAGAATACTGATGATTGCATGAAAGCGTTTCAACTTAGAGGCTTTGCCTATGGTAACTATGGTAATTGAATGGATTTTATTTGAACTTGAAAATATTAAAAGAATTGAAGAAAAGAGATTTGGCTCTATTTTCTCGACTTAGTTGGATGCAAAAATTGATGATAATGTGTTTAATTAAGGTAAATGAACTACCTAGCAATTACAGCTATTACACCTATTAGGTGAAAAATAGAAAAAAAAGTGGCCATTATACTTTCTTAGTCAGGTCAACCGGTCACCTGGATTATTCGAAATGACCCGGTAATGAATTTTTAAACGGGTGGATAATCCGGAGCTCAAATTTAGACGGGTACAATCTCTGGATATATGATACTATATAGAATATAATTTTACTCTCGTCATTATATAGAAATCATGTAAATTAGGTATCAGGCACGTATGTGCTGATTTCCTAATACTCATTAAAATTATTCTCTAGGTATATTCAAATTTAAGTTTAAACTGATTAATTATACCTTGAAAAATATTTTCAATTTCAAGATTATGTTGCTTTAGTTCTTTAAAATTACAGTTAGACCTCCCTAAATGCATAGTCAAGAGGGCCTAGATGAAAAGTTAAAAAAAAAAACTTGCATTAGAAAGATGCAAATTTGCAACTTTAATACTATTTGCAATTAACTATCATAAGTAACTATCAAAAGTAACTATATAGTTTCTTTATAGTGATTATAGTTTTACATTTAACATAAGTTAGCAATACGCCTTCTACTATTTTACTATTATTTTACTACTACATATTAGCAATACTTTTACAAACAATCGTAGCTTTGATTTTTTATCAAATTGTAGTAGATGTAGTAGTAAAGTAATAAGCATATTACTAACTTACAGTTAATTGCAAGTAGTATTAAAGTTGCAAATTTGCATGTTTCTGTAAAGTAGGTCTTGGTTAACTTGTCCGAATCTTCTTTTTCTCTTTCGTTGATACTTTGTGCTTTCTTTCTTTCTTCTACTTCATAGTCTTATATTTCTTCTAATAAATGCTTTTTGAGATCTTGCATACTTCTCTTTACCTTTTGGTCTTTTTAAAAACCTCCTTACTGTTTCCAAAGTAAAAATTTTCTTTTTCTTCTTCCAGTTCTTGATTGTTTGGAACTGCATATCTGCTTTTTCTTTCTTATTCTATAAGCTTGCTTTTCTTCTGTGTGGTTTCTTTTGCAGTTTAAAGTACTTCTCTCGATTTCTGATTACTTTTCTTATACTTCTTTTTGTTATTCTAAACCTGGTATCTTTTTTTTTTTTTTCCAATTCTTGATTTTTATTGTTCTCTCTATTGTTGTATCTTGTATAGTATTATCTTCATTTATGCTAATGTTCATTAATGATCTAATTCATCTACTCCATTCTTCTAAGATTTCTTTTTTCTTCTTTTTTCAATTTTTAATATTATCTTGTTTACTTTCTAAATTTACTTGGTATATAAACTCTGCTATCCACCTTAGTATTTTTCTTCGTGGGTTTTTGACTTGTATCTTGATGGAGTTTTCCTCTTCTATTAAGGTTATTATCAGAATTTTTGGTCTTGATTCTTCAGTTAGTTTGTCTAAAATTTCTTTTTCTATTAAGTCTTTAATATCTCTTCTTGTGATTCTTTTTTTTAATAATTTTTTTTTCTTTAGCTTCTTTATGTTTTTGTTCTAGCAGTTTTGCTTTCTGTCGAACTTGCATTTTCTTTATTTCTTTTTTAGTTTTATTTTTCCTTTTTTCTTTGTATTGTTTTATTTCTATTAATTCTACTAATTCTCTAAAGTGCTATAATAATAGTCCTAATATTATTTTATTATACTGTTAGCACTTTCTCTGCTTATCTAATCTTTTCATCTATTTTGTTTTTATTCTAGCTTTTACGTATTTGGCAGTCAATCTTTCTTTATTGTATATAAACAGCCTTTCTATTTCTGTTGCATATAGGTTTCTTATAGTACTGATTACTTCATCTAGTAGGATGTGTTCTGTAGGATCGATTTCTAAATATATCACCTCTTAATATGCTGTATTATTTCTTTTCTTGAGTGCAAATTCTGTATATTAATTCTTTTTGCTCTATGTTGTCTCAATTCTATATGTATTGCTACTATTCATTCTTCTGCTTATTCTGCTGTTGTAGGTTTTGTTCTGGCATTTTCTATTGTTTTTTGCTTTATGTGACTAATTTGTTGTTGTGTTTGTATATTTCTTTTGTTTTTGTCTGTTACATGTTTTTTAGCATGTTTTCTTTGTTTATTCTTTATTACGTATTGTATATCTTGTGTGATAGTAACTGATCTGCATTATGGGGTCAAGGCCAATCTTCCAAATGACTTGTAAAGGGCAAAATTATCAACAGTTTTTCAAGTTTTTCTACTATATCTTTGTCGTTTCTGCTCTATTTACTCAAGTCTCTTAAGAGATTAAGTATAAATTTTAGTCTTCTTGCTTTTTCCTTAGAGCTATAAGACTTGTTTTCTATAGCCATTTGTGTGTTTCTGTCATTTTTGCCATTGTTTTGTTTTTATATTTTGTATACAGAGAATCAGTAAGAATAATTTATTAATATAAGTGATTATTATTGTTATATTATTATTATATTATTATTTTATATTGCTATTATATTATTTTATATTATTATTGTATTGTTATTCTATTATTTTAAATTGTTATTCTATTATTTTATATTATTATTCTATTATTTTATATTGTTATTCTATTATTTTATATTGTTAATCTATTATTTTATATTATTATATTAAGTAGAAAAAGATTAACAAATTAATTAACAGATTAACAAATTAATTAATTTATTGTTTGAAGCGTAGTGAGGACTCAATTGTTTATGCAAAGTTTGATGCACGTTCATGCAATGTTTGTCAGATACGACCAATGAAAATCAAGAATTGAGAGTTCCTGTGATGATCTGCAGTCAGTATACCAAATTTCCATGCATGATCTGCAGTCTGTATAACAATTATAACCTATAATAATAAGCTAATACATATAACGATATGATTTTTTTATTTATTTCACTATGGTTATTATAATTTTTTTTATAGAAATAATTCATGATTATAAGTTTTTATATATAAATAATATGAGTAATTTAAATTTTTACAAAATTAACATTAGTTATAATTGATTTTTTTCGCTTCAGACCTACATCAGATTCTGATTTTCTAGTTTAATTTTTTTTCCTATTGATAGCCTCACTGATATCTTTATAAGATCAAAACATATATATATATATATTTAAACTATTTAAACTACAGATCTGACATCATTTGGCTGCTCTATCAGATGTCTAAATGTAGTCTACTGTATTAGTTAAGGTATTGCTTATATTGAAAGGCTGCACCATGCTAGCTAGCGAAGCTATAATAAAATTGCCTTAATTTAAAGAAATTTTTATCAAGATTCTACCAACAATTAACCTTTTTAACTTTATCTTTCTTATTACAATAATAATCTAAATCTACTATCTAATTTAGCTTTGATTTTTACTTTATTATAGCTAAATTTTCTCTGTTTGTATCTAAGCTTCTTTCATTTTTTCTAATTTATTTTGTTTATATGATAGGAAATTTGGCTTCTAAAAGTCTTCTTATGTTCTTTTCTTTATACTTTTCTTTTTGTTTGTGGCTTTGTATTCTTTTATCTTTTCCAAAGAGTTTATTTTAGAGGTCTTTACTAGGAGTGTTTTTTTATAGACCTTCTCTTTTTCTAGTTTTCTTAATGCTAGCCTTAAATCTTCTGCTTCTAGGTTTTGATTAATCTACTTGCATCTTCTTTTTCTTTTACATTGGGACCAAGCTTTTAGGTCTTTTGTTTCTATATCTTAATTAGTCTATTCAGATCTTTCTTTTTTTCTATTCTGCATTTGAAGATCTTTCTTTTGCCTCTTCTTTTTAGAGCCTAGTTTTCGGTTTAGAAACTTCTCTTGTATTTAATAAAAATCTTTCGATTCCCAAAAAGTTCTATTAAAATTTATTCTACTATTTCTAATACTATATCTTTTTTCCTTTTCTAATGCTTAATTTTCTTTAATCTTCCAGCTGATATATTTTGAATCAAACTTGTATTACTAATCCATTAGGATTTTGACCATTGTATCTATTCTACTAGCAAAACTTTCCTTTTCTTTTTCTAATTTTGTCATTAATTCTAGAGTCTTCTTTGCTTGCTTGATATATTATTTTTATCATCCAATCTG